TCGAAACAAGGCTTCGACCAATCGTCCCGCCAGCCGATGACGCCAAGCGCGCCGCGTTGCGCGCATGCGCTCTATCGATAGCCGTTACCGGCGCGAAGTTGCCGTTGAGCGCACTCGCGACTCCGCGCGGACAGTTGCGGAAGCTTCAGTAGCTCGCCATGTTTTTTACTGAGTGGGGTGTGTAGAAGAGAGGCCGGGGTGAAAATCATCTCTCGAGGCATGCAGGTACGTTGAAGAATTTTGAATTTCTCATTATCGCGATTGAGATGCGTGTCCAGATTCGTACATTAGCGCGTCCCATCGCGATTGCCGATCGCGAGTGCTTGATAACGTCGCGTTTCGTAACGTCGTCACATTGCACGGGCTCATGCCGTTCCGGGCAAGAGGTATGACTCAGGCAAAATTCTATAGCGCAATCGACAAGGTTATTTGCATTACACATATTCCGACCCTTTGCCAACAGCTCGCGGACACGCAATTGCGTCGCCCGCCTAAATTTGCGCTTATTTTCTCTCTCTCTCTCTCTCTCTCTCTCTCTCTCTCTCGCGCGCGCGCGCGCGCTCTCTCTCTCTCTCTCTCTCTCGCTCTTTCTTTCTGCGTGTCGAGTATTCACAATCTTCATGGCGAGATAACTCCGAAGAGATCGATGTATATATTGCGTTTTGTTGCACACGTCTGCATATCTATAGATAGATAGTACGTCTCTTTGACAATGGTCACAATGGTCTCAACATGTGTAACGTCGCAATGTGCGATTCTATTTACATATGCGCTATATGACTTCTGGACCTTGGTCTTTGTTTCTCCGTCTTCTCGGTACACGCGTTGGCAAAATTTATTATTCTGTGCACTGTGGTGTACACACTGTAAGTTGTCTATATATGACGACTCTGACGTATTTCTTTAAATAGATACAAATAAATATTAATATATTATCTTAAATATAGTAAAATAGCATATTTCATATAGAATATATTGCATAAATTTACAGCAATGTTGATAATGACCTCTAATGTGGAAGTGTATAAATAAACTTATATGTAGAGACATTTGTGAATCACTTCTATAACTATAATTTAATTTCCTTGATTGCATTCGCTATAACAAGTTTTCAAAGAAAGTTCATAGAAATTAATTGTTTTTACGTAGAATATAACTATACCAGATAAAAAATACCAAAAAAATTTTTTTTGAATGAATAAAATGTTATTTGGATTTTGCATACAATACTAAAAAAATATTAACTGTAAATGAAACAATATGTTTTTTCTAGCAAAACAATTATTTATATCATTTTTATTTCTTAATTTTCAGTGTCAAAATGGGAAGGAGACTATATATGTTATCCTTCACTAAGACCTGCCAGCCTCACTTCAATGATATATCCACCACCCATGCACAAGAACTAAATAATTTTTAAACAACGTAACAAACTTTAAGAAACGTTAATAATATTTCCGGGCAATTAAGAAACTTAATGTGTGAAATTCAAAACAAAAAGTGAAGAAAAAGGTTTGATAAGCCCGTTTAATAAGTCCAAGCGTTGTGGTGGTGGATTCTATAAAATTAAAAATTAAAGGACAATAATAAAATACCTTACTGTACATACGTGAGTTTAGATTTACATAAATTTTAAATATCCTTGTTGAACTTTATAGCTTTTCATTATGAAGTCATGACATTATAAAATGAATATAATCAATAAACCATGAATGTAATTTTTTGTAGGAGAGAAGATGATCACCCTGGAGGTAGTGGAGTTGGATAGAGTTTCTGGGTCTAGGAGGAGATTCATTAAGAGGGAATGAGGAATCCGGCATTGCATTTAGTCGGGATAGCGGCGTCCCCTGGAGGAGGTGAAGTCTTTGGTTCGCGGGCCGAGGAGGAGTTGCGCCAGTGGCTCGAGGCACGCCTGGACGCATTGGGGATTGACCCTGTTGCGTACTCGCGATTTGTGCTCAGCCTATTGCGCCGCCCCGACTCGGCCCTAAGTCCTCCAGAAGAGGCAATTGAGCTAGGTAGAGGCACAGGACGTCGCATACGTGCCCGATCTAAAGCAAAGCTGCCAACACATGGTGACGGGGAGCAACGACGAGCTGTTGTGCAATGTCTGACAAGTGCTGCTGATGATGTGAGTTTAAAATATAATTTATACTAAGAATATATAAAATCTCTAATTTTTATTTTCTAAAATGACACATTATGTTCTAACTGTATATAAGAAAAGCATTTCTTCTGCGTATAGAAATACGGAGTGGAAACGCTGGTTGATGAATTGTGCATAAAACTAAAAGAATTGGAAGGAGGAAGCTCGCATAATGAAAAAGAAGAATCTAAGAAATCTAATGGCGAACCCAAAACGAATTTAGAAGCACTCACACCTCGTGACAGAGCTCTTAGATACTACGCAGCATTCCCAGCCTTGCAATCTGTATCCATCAAAAAGTTTTCTCCGCAAAAAAATTTTGCCAATAGCAACAATAATAAAAACAGCGGAATTAATTTGCACAATAACAAAAATAATAGCGCTTGCAATAAAAAAAATAAAATGTCTATTGTAAGTATAATATTCTCCTATTTGTTTGGTGTTTTATATAGTTGTCAATATGGTAAATTATTTTTTTCCCCCTTTTTTAGAGCATTGAATCACAAAGATCAGAAGATAAAGAAAGTTTTGGATTCGCTAAATCAATGGAACGGGAAAGAGAAAAAGAACGTGAATTGGAACTCGATCAATTAAGATTAGCGCAGTTAAAGGCAAAGTTTAATGAAAACTTGGAAGCACTTTGGAATTCAGTACCAGGCAATGCACAGGACACAGCTTCGATATGGGCAGCTCCAACACTTTCCATTCCTTCTGGACCTCTATGGCCAACAGACACTACCAAGACAATCTTTACTTTACCTACTTCAAATAACGATTACACTACTGACACACCAAATCAAGACTCAATTGTTGACGAATCACCGCTTATCCCCTGGGATATAGATCTAATCAGCATTGAAGATAATGCAGATGAATACAGCAATAAAAATAAAGCAGGTCAGACATAATACATGATGGCAACATATAATTTATGAATAAAACTTAAAAAATTTTATTATTCTATTAGCAAAGATTTTTATATATTAATGTATCATTGCAGAATACAATATAAATTGGTCGGATTCAGTTACGGATGCACCCTGGTGCTGGAGAGGAATTGATAGCAACTTAGCTACAGGATTGTATTGTCACAATCCTCAAACAGGTAGTTGCTTCTTTCCAATGGCATCATGTAAAACTCCAATTGGAACTTGCAAACAGTCTCGTTCGAGTTTGAAGGTAAACAACCTTCCCGAACCAGACGAAGATTTATTGACTTCCATGCGTACTCACTTTCGTCCGATAAAGGACGATGGTCATTGGGCAGATGGAACAACGTTTCCCGTAAACAATACAGTAGAACGAGTTGCCTATCGGAGATCCGAATCAGGAAATTTGCTGTATCTTCCTGGCGGAGAAAGCCCTTATATGGAGTACCGGGAGAACGACGCGGTGATGCCGCCTGTGTCTACGAATTTAACGTTGAAGTTTCGAGTGCGTCAATGCGATAAAGGCGTCCAAACTGAGCCCGTACGATCTCCGGTCAAACGTCGCATCCTTTCCGAACAGGATCATTTTCGCTATTCTCCGATCGGAGGTGAAGATAGTGTTATACACGAACAAGAAAATCTCGAAAAAGATTCCTTTGGTTTGGATCAACTTGGCTGGGTACAATCGAGTGTACCTCTGCACAATGATAGAAAAAGGTAATGAATTTCGCTATAAGACACATATCATATATGCATCGCAAAAACAGTTACATGACAATTGTAACATTGCGTTGTAATTGCATATATTGATTAGGAGGAGGCGGCTTTAGAGATTAGATAATTTTTTTTTTTTTTATTATTAAGTGAGTGTGGGATCAATATTGCCAAACTGGGATACAAGACTTGCAATACAACACATAATCATTACAATTGAGTAATGACAAAAAATTGGTATTTATAGACAATTTATATCTATTGTGAAAGATAAATATTGATGTATGTGTAATTATTCTAGGTAATTAAAAAATTTGATTAGACTAAGTTAACCTAATCTAAACGTGCAATTATAATACATGCAATATTTACCATTTTTATTGAAAAATATTTGAATGAATTTTGACCCTTCAAAGAAAGTTGGAATAAATTTTTCTTTAAAATAGGACTCACATGCCCAAAAAACGAGCAAAGAGTTATAGCAGTAATTTTTCTATGAGTAATTGTCCTGAATTCAGTTGCAATTCCAAAATATATTGATAGTGCGTTTGGACAAAAGTTTTACAGACACAATTTAGTTTTGTTACACTATAATTGTATCTAATTATATAAATTATATCTTTTTTCTGATAGAAGGCACAGTAGCAGCTTTGGGTGCCAGCCACTGACGACTTTGCGCCCATTGACGTTGTGAACTGGATAATGTAAGCTGCTAAATAATTCTATATGACTGGAGATTTGAGGTTTAGCTATATATACTTTTTTTTTCGCAAGATAAAGAAGCGAATGATAGGTGCGTGAATGGGGGTCCTCTTGGCATGTGGAATTTGTTATGCATGTAACCAAGAAGGCACGAGTAAACCCCATCGTCACTCGTAATGAGCAACATGCAATCGAATACAAAACGAAACGCGAGGATATTAATTATTCATTTAGATAGTTATTATTAACCCTCTTTGTGAGATGAGTAAAAAGGAAAGGAGTAAAATGAGAAAAAAAGAAGTGTATATCTTGTACACAGTGTCTCACGTTGTAAGGACGTTGCAGACATAGTCTACGTGATTTAAGTTGTAGGTTGTTGATTATATTTTGTGATTTTTAAGGAGAGAACTTAGTACGCTGATTTTCTAGGAAATTGTAGCAAGCAATTTTGTTTCTCGCCCGACGTGCAGGCCAAGAGCATACTTATTCAATTCTTATTGATAAAAGGGAAAAAAAAAAAACGGATATTAGAGTTGGGAATCAGACAAATTCGAGAGAATAGTTGAGTACTTATTTTGAAAGCTGCACGTTTTGCAAATCGGGTATTTAATTAAAGTGCTGTTCTATTTTCTTGTTGTTTTTCGTAATTATTAATGGATTATCTTCTTAATCTCGTATTCTCCTAATTATAATTTAACTCCCTAGAAGATTAATCCTTCCCTCCATCTCCATCCTCTTTTCCCTCTCCCCATCTTCCAAATCTCCTTGTATCCAATGCTTTCCCTGTGCTCACCCTAAGAAAATCGAATAACTGAGAATGTACATGTAAAAAAAACGTGTAATTTAAAAACACATGCTTACCTCGCGAAAAAGGTACGCAAGAAAAAGAAAAAAAAATACAAGAAATGTTACTAGCATGCAAATGCCTTAGGAAGGAATGTTGGAAGATGTTGAATGTCGAAAGGAAATGTATAACTTATAATTGATTTTGTCTTTGAAAGAAATGATTTAAGAAGGATATGCAAAAATCGAATTGTGAAGGATGTCAATGAATGAAATGTGTCACTTATAACTGACCCTTTGTCTTCGAGGAATGATGTAAAAAGATGTGCAAATAAGAAAAAAACGGAATGAGCAAAAATATCTTTGCGCGAAATAATGTATGGAAAAGGACAAAATAAAGGCATTGCGAACATTACACATAAATTTGCAATCTTTTATCTCTTTGCAAATTTATTTATCCAAAAATTCCGAATTATATCCTCTCCTTTCAGGATAAATTACCTAAACCCACAAACACATGTATGGGATGATATATGCTAAGAGCATGCAAATTGATCTGCAAAGCTATCATATATTACAATACCGCTTCACTGATACATCACTATGAAGATTCATAAATCTAAAAAATATCGTATTGAAAATCTTATAGAAAATTAACACATTGTCTAAAAATAATTTCATATTTCTTTATGCGACAACTTTATACTTATTTTCTATATTTCACATATGTATACCCTGAGTAACGGAATTTAAAATCTCGATCTAAATTGCACCGGTTTATTTCCATGTGTGGGAGCGGGATATAAATTGAATCTTATCGGCTTGATTGTCTTCATCATCTTAGTTTTGGGAGACATTTTGGGATCTTTACGTAAGTCGCTAACTTTCGCACGATAACGATAATACCAATACTCGAATGCTAGTGTGAAGCAAGCAAAGACGATGCCCACAAAAATTACGAGGAACACACCGCCAATATTGTGGATACTAATACCGTCGCTCTGATCATTTTCTAAATCGCAGTTTTTTCGCGCAGGATTATGTTTCCACCATCTGTCCTTTAACTTTTCCAATCTTCTTTTGTTCAACAGTATGAGAATTCTGCAAGAAAGATCGATTTTAGAAAAAGATTGTTCTTCACGAGAGAAGATAAATACCTTTTCGTATATACGTACGCGTTATTAAATTGATCTTTCAATGGTGATCCTTGTTGGACAGCGATGGCGTACGGTTTCCTCGAAAATTCTTCCCCGACTTGAGTCAAATCGCAATTCGTGAGGATGAGATACTTGATGGTCGAGGCATCTCCGATAAAGGCGAATTCGTTATTCGCGTACGGACCTTCGCGTCGAATTCGCTTCAGAGCAGTTGGACAGCACGGTTTCCTCGAAAATTCTTCCCCGACTTGAGTCAAATCGCAATTCGTGAGGATGAGATACTTGATGGTCGAGGCATCTAGGCATCTCGCGAATTCGTTATTCGCGTACGGACCTTCGCGTCGAATTCGCTTCAGAGC